GCGATATTGTAGTAGATTATATGGAATGAATGAAAAGTGCCATGTGAAGTATTTTTGGGTCTACAAAAATGTCTTTATAACCCTTGCATTATTATTATTACTTCACAATTACAATCCATTACAATTGGATTCCAACCATGTTGGCCATCTTTGCATGCAAAAGCCAGATCTGTCAGACCTCTGAGCACCAGGTGCCACGGTGAGGCACCTGGTTTCAACTTTATTTCAACTTAAAATGTAAAACTAATATATTATATAGATTTACAGGCATACGACACATGTCTTTAATTGTTATATTTTTGATGATTATGGATTACTGTCCATCTTCATTTTATTCTAATAAAACATACCCTATATAGGCAAGGCAAGGCAAGGCAAGGCAAGTTTATTTATATAGCACAATTCATACACAAGGCAATTCAAAGTGCTGAACAAAACAAGAAAGCATTAAAATCATAAATAATCACAGAACATTAAAAAGAAAGATACAAATATAAAATCCCTCAGTTGTATGCACAGCTAAACAGAACTGTCTTTAACCTGGTTTTAAACATTGTCAGAGAGGAGGCCTGTCTCACATCTTCAGGAAGACTGTTCCAGATTTTAGCAGCATGAATCTGAAAAGCAGCCTCCCCATGTTTAGTTCTGACTCTGGGCACTAACAGGAGTCCAGTCCCTGTGCTCCTCAGAGTCCGGGCTGGTTCATATGGGACTAACATGTCACTAATATATTTTGGTGCGAGGCCATGGAGAGACTTGTAACAAGCAGAGCTGTTTTAAAGTCTATTCTCTGAGCCACAGGAAGCCAGTGCAGGGACCTGAGGACTGGACTAATGTGGTCGTACTTCCTGGTTCTAGTCAGGACTCGAGCTGCTGCATTTTGAATGTACTGCAGCTGTTTTACAGCCTGTTTGGACAGACCTGTGAGCAGGCCATTGCAGTAGTCTAACCTACTGGAGACAAATGCATGGATAAGAATCTCCAAGTCTGCTTTAGACACTATATACCACAATCTACAACCATTACGACCATTGCACCAGACACACAACAGAGCACTTGTGTTTCTCAAAATAAAGCCTGTGTTATCTGGATTATGTGTATTGTTTGGACTGTTCTTCTCCTGGCTCAGTTCTGCCAATTCAGAAGTTATATTTATTGCGATGTGTTTGCGCGAGGCTGAGAGGGACATCTGGACCATATTTGCCGTGTTATTTTCAGTTTTTGTCTGTGAGGCTGCAATTCCCCCACAGTCGAGAGCAACAGATGAGGCTGAAGCAGCGAGTCTAAATGGATGCCCGAGGAGGGAGCAGCACAGAAATGCAGCTAATTAGAAACCAAAAAAATGTAAAAACCAAATAAAAATAGGAAAGAGTTTACACTTCTCAGGGAAAAAGATTTAAGTCACAAAAGTTATTTTTGATCTTTAAAATGTGTGATGGGCACACAAGAGCCGGCTTTCCACCGCAGGAGTTCCTGGTGAAAGGAGCGGGGTGGAACTTTTACAGGAACCTTCCTCTCCCTCGGTCCTCTGTGTCCGTGTCTCCACTGCAGTAGGACCACTCGGCAATGTCATGGGTTTTGTTTGAGTTTGTTTATTTTACGGCCGTAATCGCTCCGTTTGTTGTAGTCTTTGGGATTTTTATTGTCCAGATTCAGTTTTTTAAAACACTTTTCACAGCTTGTTTTAGAGTGTAATGAATCCCCAGTGCTTCGAGGTGAAGCTGATATGTTTTGATATCTTTTCATTTCTCCACGATGCCTCAAACCCCGTCTGAATCAATGCCATGCTGTTGTGCGCTGTTTCCAGTGATGTCTGCTGGGCTAATGCTGCTGGGCTAATGCTGCTGGGCTAATGCTGCTGGGCTAATGGCGGTTGTTTAGCTGCCTTCTGCTGGAGTCTGAGCGGTCTGAGCCTGCGCTAGCTTTAGCAAATCAGCGTTGGGTTAACCTCAAGTCCCACCAGGGCCCAAAGGAGTACCTAGCATAGAGGAGGGACTCCGTTGGGCCCCGTAAAAGTTCCTGTAAATGGCCCTGTGGGGAAAGTTCTTGCAGTGGAGACACGCACCCGCGAGGCTGGTCCTGGAAAATGACCTCGAAGTTCCTGCAACGCGGCTAATCTTTTGCTTTTGCAGAGATAATAAATGAACTGAACAAAGACAAGTCTATCAACTTTTTGTCCTTTGTTGTTGTGTTTTGGAATACACCAAATCATTGTTAGAAGGGGAGTCTTGGGCCATTACAAGGGAGGGAGTGGGGTGTTTTGTTGTTGTTGTTGTTGTTTTTAGTGGTAAGGGAAACCGGAGCCCCCACAGGAAGCCTCCACGACACAGGGAGAACAAACAAACTCCAATCAGGAAGGCCCAATTCTGAGCAGGATTCAAACCTGGGACCTTCTTGTTGAGATGTGCGAATGCTAACCACCATATCTACGCCTCTTCCAAACTAGTCTGGAGAATCTCAGTCCACCAGAGCATCGAGGCATACACTGTAATCCTGGTCATGGCTCATTTCACTCAAACTCCTGCTGCGGATGGAGGATAGTGCTCTCAGAACCTCTACGCGGCAGTGACTGTGAAATCAATAGCAGTAGCGTATACGCATGATCCCTGGAGACACGCTCAAAACCATCTAGAAGTGTATTGTTATGTGTGTGTGTGTGCGCGCGTGTGCTTCTGTGCTGCGGAAGATGCCATTGATTTATTGATGGCTCTGGTCTCTTCTTTGATTCACGGCTTGTCCACATTAGCGCACATCATGAAAGCTATTAAATACTTTAGCCTGTTGAGGTTTGACTGCCGTTCATAGTGCATTCACACTCTCTATAGCTGACACGATTATAACATTATTTTAAAGGGGAAGATTTTGAAGCTGGGATGCCTATTTCTTCCCTTCATTAAAAGTGATGTCAGCCAATCTAAACAGTAATAAAAAAAAAAAATCTTCTTTCTCAAGGCAAGGCTATTAGCGAGATACCAGATTGGCAGATTATGAGATTACTCTGCCAATCTGGTTTATTTAGGTGCTGGAGTGGAAAGACTATGGTTTGTTAAACGTATTTTGTCATTTCTCTTGAAGCGAGAACTCAGGGGGAAAGATGTCAGAGCACTTGTGGCCTTGAGGACCCGCTGCTCGGTGACAGGTTAATGTGGATAAATGAAATATTGGAACTGCAGTGTGAAATGAGAGGTGGTAAAGTGTTTTCAGAACGATTTGAGGATACACTGTATTGTATCACGCGATCTCAGAACATAAATACAAGCATGCACACACACTGATAATAATAATAATAATATATTTTATTTAGACGTGCATTTTGAAACACCAAAGGACACTCTACAAACGTGGATAAAAACAGAGTGCAATTTTTCAACATTTCGCCACATTTCAGGCTTCAAACATAAAGATATAAAAACTAAACTTTTTGTCAAGAATCAACAACAAGTGAGACACAATCGTCGAGTGGAACGAAATGTATTGGATAATTTAAACTTTTAAAAAAAATAAAAAACTGAAAAGTGGGGCGTGCAATTCGGCCCCCTTGCACTAATACTTTGTAGCGCCACCTTTTGCTGCAATTACAGCTGCAAGTCGCTTGGGGTATGTCTCTATCAGTTTTGCACATCGAGAGACTGGAATTCTTGCCCATTCTTCCCTGCAAAACAGCTCGAGCTCAGTGAGATTGGATGGAGAGCGTTTGTGAACAGCAGTCTTCAGCTCTTTCCACAGATTCTCGATTGGATTCAGGTCTGGACTTTGACTTGGCCATTCTAACACCTGGATACGTCTATTTGTGAACCATTCCATTGTAGATGTGGCTTTATGTTTTGGATCATTGTCCTGTTGGAAGATAAATCTCCGTCCAAGTCTCAGGTCTTTTGCAGACTCCAACAGGTTTTCTTCCAGAATGGTCCTGTATTTGGCTCCATCCATCTTCCCATCAATTTTAGCCATCTTCCCTGTCCCTGCTGAAGAAAAGCAGGCCCAAAGCATGATGCTGCCACCACCATGTTTGACAGTGGGGATGGTGTGTTCAGGGTGATGAGCTGTGTTGCTTTTACACCAAACATATCGTTTTGCATTGTGGCCAAAAAGTTCAATTTTGGTTTCATCTGACCAGAGCACCTTCTTTCACATGTTTGGTGTGTCTCCCAGGTGGATTGTGGCAAACTTTAAACAAGACTTTTTATGGATATCTTTGAGAAATGGCTTTCTTCTTGCCACTCTTCCATAAAGGCCAGATTTGTGCAGTGCACGACTGATTGTTGTCCTATGGACAGACTCTCCCACCTCAGCTGTAGTTATCTGCAGTTCATCCAGAGTGAGCATGGGCCTCTTGACTGCATCTCTGATCAGTCTTCTCCTTGTTTGAGATGAAAGTTTGGAGGGACGGCCGGGTCTTGAATTCATTTCCACAAGTGTCCCAACAACGTCTTCAATTTAAATGTTTCTCATTCCCGACACTTATTATAATAATAATACTTTTCTCATATTGTACAGTCAAAGCACAGAAGCTCTCCACATGCTGTTCATGGAGAGAAGTCCTGAACAGTCTCTTTATGTGCTCAAACAGAAATGTTTCATTCACACGTTGGTTCCAAATGTCAGAGCCCATTAGTCCTGGCTCCACAGGGGACGGCCCAGTTACAGGGGACTGTAGAGATACAGACCACAGCAGATGTAAGACATAAGAACAAAGTCTCTGTCTAATAATGGGATGTGCTGTATTTTGTATATTTTCATACAGATCAAAGAATATCCTGTTGACAAACTCTATAATATTAACAACACAACCTGGAATTAATGACTTGACAGTATTCAAATTAATCAGGATTTGTGATGTGTCAATGCCAATGATTCACATGAGTTCATGGTATTTCATATTGAATTATCATTAATTAATTACCACCATTAGCCCCGCCGACAAGAAAAAAGTACTTTCAGCACTCCCTGCGCATGCGCCAAGCAAAGATCTGTGCCAGAACAACAAGGCAGCATTTTCCTCAGGCTTTAGGTGCAGTCTGGCCGTGGCAACTGTTGCATTTCATCCTTGCTTGAGGTGGGCTTGGGCCCACTTCGAAAAGCCCAGATGAAGGGGGTTCCCTGTCAACATTGAATGTGGCGAAATGTGGCGAACTGAAAAAAAACAAAACCTTGTTACACCCTTGTGGCAATGATCCAGGCCACCTAGTCTAGTTCGTTTGTAAAAACCCTTGTGACTGCGCCCTAACTGCACATTTTCCCTAATAAATTAAACTCTAAACTCTAATTGTTATTAATAAAATGAAAAGGTCATCTGAGACAAAGGACAATAAAGCACTTATCTGTAAAGGTCAGAATGTGGAAATGTCATCTCACTTGTGACTGACAGAGCAGAAGAAAGTGTTATGTAAATGCACACTTTATTGTCCCTGTAGGGAAATTCATCTGCATTTGACCCATCCTGATGCCACTAAGGCTAACGTCTGGAGCAGTGGTTGCCGTAGTAACAGCGCCTGGGAACCCATCTCCAGATGTTGATGCTCGGCTTGGTCAGGACTATCAGAGCTGGAGGATTTTAACCTAGTGGGCATGCTTTTAGTGTTAAGGGAAATTGGAGCACCAGGAGGAAAGCTACGCAGACACAGGGAGAACATGCAAACTCCACTCAGAAAGACCCTGTTCTGGCCGGGATTCGAACACAGGACCTTCTTGCTGAGAGCCGAGAGTGCTATCCACTCAGCTAGAGTGATGTTTATTACTTGGTTTTGTAAAAGCAACACTGAACAATATTCATAATGTTGTGTCCTTCAAAATATACAGAAAATAAAATCCAAAATAAACAGCATACAGTAGGTTATAATCCGATGGGGCGGCTCCAGTCTCCAAAAGGTCCACGAGCATGTGCACTGACGAGCTGGTGGGGGTGGACCTGGAATAAGAATTACCAATGCTTTTGTAGGGCATCTTCTTTCCTCTCAAAAACAGATATATACTTTTGGTCCAAAAGTCGGCTCTTGGCCCAACGCAGCGTTCCAGATGTGTGTCAATGCTGAGGTGAGTCTATTTTAGCTGCTATGGACTTCAGGACGCACATGTCAAATTAATGGGGCTAAAGCCTGCCTAATGCATGCAAAAGTGCTTTTTTTCACATTTTCTTGCCCCGCAGCCATTTTGAAAAAGCCCCATAGAAGGAACATTAGTTTCAACGGAGATAGGGGTGATATTTAATATTTACAGTCTATAGTTATACTACACAAACACAATCCTTATATAAAGCTATAGGGTTTATGTTAGTGTATCTTTGTAGAGACATTACTCATTACTGCTAATGGACCCTTTAAATAATCACTTTTCCTGAAACGTTTGAATATAAAAATCAGAAGATCAGATTAAAAAAGTTTTATTACAGAGAGACAGATGTAAAACCCATGTTAGTGCATTAAACTTATATGAAACACTTTGAAAACAGACTTCACATGCCGCACCAGACACAGGCTTTCCTCAGGGCTTACGTCACCCTCAGAGTTCTCCTCGCCCACTGCGCACCTCCATCAAAAATGCACTCAGGAGCATTGTCACAAATCAACCTGTGAATGCTGCCGTCCCGCTTCGAGCATTAGCTAATGAGCTTCAAGTGCTGAGTGAGACTACGGCACGAGACCAGCGCAGTCTGCAGAAACTCCTGTTGGAACTCCTCAAAGTTCCAAAGTTTGGTTCATGCGACACCCACGAGGCTTGATTTCAACAGCAGATTTGTGGATGGTAAAATGGGTTAAATCTGGGGTAGCAAACTGTCAAATCACGAAAACTAGATCGTTGTCACATCATAAGTAATTCCTTGCTCTCAAAACAGTTTGGGTTCCATCAGTAGTTTTCACATGCATGCAAGTATTTTTGGCCTCTGTGACATCTTTGAATCAACTTTTTCAGGCAGAAAATTGAAAATGAAAAGACCTCCCTTCCTCTCAACCCAAAGCTTATCCTAGTATGCAAAAGATAACATGTTGTCTAATCAGCTGAAGAAAGTAGGATGTGGCCAGATTTGTCACAAAATGTTACTTCTTAAGACTATTTCTGTTGGAACAAAAAAAATGCAGTATATATTAAAAAAAAGTTAAGTACCCCGACTTCAATATCTGGACAAAATGCTGTATTGTACAATGTTTTTCTTTAAGTGGACTGTAAAAAAATGACCAAATAAAAGTGCTTGAACAAAGTGGTTTTCATCATTTATTTTACGTTTTGAATGTGTTGAAATATTATGTGTCAATTGATCAAGTAGTTACAAAAATTCATTTTTTAAATCCCTTAAGTAAAACAAGACATTTTAGGATTGCTCCAGCTTTGGTTTTAAACTTGCACCATGTAGTTCATGAAGTATTTATGGGAATAGCTTTAGATTTAGCTTCATGAAAACAAGGAAATCAAAGAAAAATCACAAGAATGTTCTTACATATGAAAGATAGACAAGAATATACCTTTCCATTCAAGGCCACAACATAAGCCGAGCCAGTAACAGACCTTGCTTAAGACTTTGAATCACGTCAAGATAAATCACACTTTATTCAAGCACTGTTGCTGCAGTGAAGAAAAAAAAACACCTACAAATGAATAAATACCATTCAAAAGCTATAGTATTTCCATGGCAACAGTCAAAGTACTTTCACAGTAAAACATTCCTCCCAGTTTGTGGCTCATTACGTCCAAAGCGTTTCGTGTGCTGTTGTTTTGAAGATAAAGGATGAAAACCATAAACAAAGTAAGAATGTTTTTATATTGTTTGCTATTTCTGTCATGCTATAAAACTGACAAGACCGTAACAAAAGCCGCCAACAGCTTACCAGCCCATACGCAGCATGTGAGAAAATGCTAGAGAAGAAATTGATAAACATATAACAGAATGATTAATTTGAAAATGTACTAAAACGGTAAAATAACACAGGTTAAAATGCAAGATTAAGCTAAAACTGAGTCACACCAGGCCCTATCTTGTCAGCAATGATCTTCAAGGCGCCAGTGCAGAAATATACTAAGCCACTGAGAGGTTTTGTCGAAATAATCTAAATATGTTTCAGTTATTATTAGACTTATGGCACAAACACATAATGAATACGAATAAGAGCATGCAGTGCAGCTTTGTACCATATGCAATTGTGAACTTTTATTTTCCTTAGAGGCAGTTCCTGCAGTATTCTCAATGTCTCTGTTGGGCATGTTTTTTGCCAGGGTACGTGCAATCAGAGGAAAAATGCATCTGGCAACTACCAGGACCGGACCTTTAAAACAATCAATGTGTGCACGCATATGCCTTTTTCACATGTGGTCGTCTTACTCGAGAAAATGATCCAAACTTTTTCACTAACAAATCAAATATCTCAAAATCAGTGCGTGAGCAGAAGCTGAAGTGTATTTCTACATAGTGCACACTGTCACCTTTCGTATGATGTACATATGTGCTACAGTGCATTCTCATCATGCTCATCGGCGCTGGAGCTTTGAGTATCGCAGCTGACAAAATAGCACCTTTTAGTTTCTTGGTCATTTCCCAACATGGCACCAGCACAGCGTAACGGCTCAGAACAATGTTGGCAGTTTTGCTTCGAAACCCTATCAATAATCCAACAAAAAGAACATTTCATATTACTTTTAACAATTTGTGCACTCACTCACATCTTATCAGAGCAAAACATTTAAAAGTAAAAAAGTCAAGTTATAAAAACATTCTTATCAGCTGTAAGTTGTTTCAAATAGCCATCAGGGTTGCATCAGTGTCCACTTTTCATAAATATTCAAATGAAAAGTGGAGTGTCCGTCTCGAGTTGTCCAGCATGTAGTTTGTCACTGGTTTGAAAACGTGGGCTACCTGGACGCGTCGGGGACCAGTCTTTTGAACCAGTGCGTGACGGCAGAGTCTGTTCTCAGCACAAATGTGACGCCCAGGAGCAAGGAGGCACTGGTGACGATGAACGCAGACGCTTCGAACATCAGCCTGCGGAGAGAGGAGTCATCACTGTAGCCACAAAGTTTGGCACAAACAATTGGCATGCGGGATTTGTGTTCATTTAGGCCGTGCAAGTAGAAACTAAGACCTGTGGGCCGATTGCCGTCTACTGTGTTTATCTGGCCCGTGCCTTGCCAACACAAAGTAGTCACAGTGTCATCCAGATTGTGTATATTTGACATTTGATTTTGATCCTGCAAAAAAATGTTTTACAAACCGGCTAGCTAAACCGGCCCTCTCACTAAAATGTGTGGACACCCCGATTAAGGCCTTTAAAGCTGGGGTACCTAACTTTTATTAAAACAATACAATAATACAGTTTGTCTCAACAGGAAGTAAGTAAGTAAGTAAGTTTTTATTTATATACCGCCTTTTCACTGCAGATCTGAGTCTCAAAGCGGTTTACAATTGTTAATTTTGGGCATTTGTCTCTCACTCCACACAGAGATGGGAGCAGGGTCGCCAGTACAGGAGGCGCATGCCAGAACTATTGGACACATTTTTAGTGGTAGGGGAAACCAGAGTACCCGGAGGAAACCTACGCAGACACGGGGAGAACATGCAAACTCCACTCAGAAAGGCCCTGGTCCGACCGGGATTCGAACCCAGGACCTTCTTGCTGAGAGGCGAGAGTGCTATCCACTCAGCCACCGTGCCGCCCAGGAGTCATGAACAAATCAGACCACAACGCAACATATTTGAAAACGTAAATTATCTTTGGTATACTTGTAAGAAAGAGCCCTGCGAGTTATTATTTGAGGCTTTTGTCTGAGAGCTGATCGGCTCCCAGTCACTTTTTTTGTCCGAAAAAGCGGATCCAAAAATGTGAAGGAACCCATACTATACAAGCAAGCGAAAACTAGTGACGGAAGCTAACTGTTTTGAGAGCGAGGAACTAGTTACATGGACTTTAATGGAACTTTACATAGATTCATTTGTAGTGGAAGCTTTAAACAGTCATAACATATTCAAGAATAATAGTTTCCTTGAAACATATATTTGGCAGGGTAGGAAAATTATAGAAAACTCTTTTCACAGATGTGTTGAATTTTGAATCCCTTTGCCCTGACAAAATAATCAGAACTATAAAATAATGAATTGACGTAGTCCCACAAAATAAATGTCAATATATGAGTGTGTGTGTGCGTCTAAATCCCCTGTCTGCAGACGCCAAAAGACAAACAGAAGAAAAACAACTTGACATAAAGCCGACTCCTGAGCAGCAGACAGAAGTCCTCCGCGTTCTACTAATGTGCAGTAAAACGTGAACCCCACCTATTCTAAATGCTTCACAGATATATCCTTCGTCCATTTCCTGCGGAGCCGTTACAGTGAGTGGATTAGAAAGGAGCAAGCCGGAAAATCCATCCAGTACTTACTTGGGTGCGAAGACCTTCCACACCATTAGATGTCTCCTGAGGATGGCAGCTGCGCAGACCGACGCAAACACCTACGGACAGACGAGAAACAAGGGCATTTCTAGTATGTCTGCATGGGAGTTAATAAAAGCACAAAAAGATACAGATTTTTTTTACTATGGAAGATGGTACATACCCACACCCATTTGCAGTAAAACCACATTGGAATAACTGTGCAAGACAACCCCAGTGTGCACCAGACAGCAGATAGTACATTGAGGGACCCCGTAGACCAGGTAGGGTTAACTGGTCATAAAAAATGAGATCTTCAGTGGAAAACCAAATGAAGAAATTATTAACTGAAATGTCCAATAGGAATGAACTTGTCTTGCCTTTTGATTAACAAATACATCTTTTTCCTTTTTTTTTTTTTCATGTTGAACAGTCTGTGATGCGCCAATTGACAACTTTGTGAAGTCTTCCATGACCACTGCTGTCTATTAGGGCTCCTCAGACAGACTCCACCAACTCAGTGATGTCATCAGAAAGAGCCCTGTCCTATGTACTTGTCTTGTGCACTCTGTGGGACTTTTGCAAATGTATTCCAACATGGTTTTACTGCAAATGGAAAATAAAATTAATCTGAATCTGTCAGCGGAGAAACAGTACAGCTCTGGAGCTTGGAGTCCATTTTTAATCTATTTTGGAACTTGTGCAACTGTGTCGACAATGATGAAATACAGAAGATATAGCCTACAAAATGTTTTAATTCATTCCGTTTGCACAGACTTTTGGCCTACATCCTCTCACCCCACTGATATCAAGAGGCACTGATCTCCCCTCTTGCTTCCTCTCGCAGAGCACAGATCATGGTTTATGAGCAGACAGACAAATAAAGCCGATGCGTATAGGAGAAAAAAAGCGTTTTATAATCTTTTTGAGCTCCATAATGCGCTTTTTATTTGGCAACAATCAATCACCGACCGTTCTGTAGAAGACAAAATTCACAGCTCTGACAGCTCACATCATTCATCTGCTTGTATTCGTGAAAGAGAGAGAAAGAGAAAGAAAGAGAGAACGTTGCGTGAATTGTTTTCGTCTTTTTTTGTGAGTGACCAGGCCTCTGCTCAGGACTTTTTAGGACTCTGTGGTAGCTTCTGCCATTTACTACGCTGCCGTGTGCTGGGCCCCGGGCAGCACAGAGCGGGACAGAAACAGACTGAACAAGCTGGTCAAGAGGGCCAGCTCCACTCTGGGCTGCTCCCTGGACTCTGTGGAGGAGGTGAGGGACAAGAGGGTGCTAGCCAAAGCCACCCCCATCATGAACAATACCTCCCACCCACTGCACAGGACTGTAGAAGAGCTGAGGAGCTCCTTCAGTGGAAGACTGAGACACCCTCAGTGTAGGAAGGAGCGCCACCGCTGTCAGACTGTACAATAAGTCACTTTAAATGATCACTGTGTGAAAACCTGCACTACTATTGACACTGTTTCCAATTGACACTTGTCACTTTTGTTGTACATAATTATTATCACTTTTATTGTACATATATCCTGCATGTAACATGTTTGCACATTTCCTCCTTTTGCACAATCTGAGTGTTCTATCCATGCCAAATGTGACATGTAAATTTCTCCTCTGTGAGATAAATAAAGCACATCTTATCTTCTCTTATCTTATCTTTTGTTTTTACAGTATGATGTTCCTCAATATGTGCAGTCCCATAATCAAAGAAATACATTCAAATATCTTTTTATGTGTGGTATCAGCACACTAACGACTATCTTAATGCCCACAATTTTAATATTTGCTCATTTTCCATAGCTCTGCTTTAGAGCATCCTGACTATTACTAATAGGATTTTAACAAACTGAAACTTAGACCTAATAATGAATTGCAAACCCATGATGTAACCAGGCAACAAGTGCTGAATGCCGTGTTGCCAGATTCCCTCGTGACTTGACTTGGTGCACTCAGGACTAAAAGGTCAGCTCATACTTCATGAGAAGCACCAACTTTGTTCTTGCACTTGACAAGAGCAAGAACAAAGTTGTTACATCTTAGAAGTTAGAATTGGCTTTTCATCCAAGTGTTGCTCGAGGTGCTAGACATAGTTCTATGAATTATGAATCGCTTTCACCTCCATTCAGTGCGGTGGACAGAGCTAAACCCGGTGGAGGAGGTAAAACCAGCTTTAGGGCCAGATTTAGGGCCAGCTTTAGGGCCAGCTTTAGGGACAGCTTAAGGGACAGCTTAAGGGACAGTTTAAGGGACAGCTTTAGGGACAGCTTTAGGGACAGCTTTAGGGACAGATTTAGGGACAGCTTTAGGGACAGCTTTAGGGACAGCTTTAGGGACAGCTTTAAAACCAGTCAAACAGTCCTCATTGTAATAGGAATCAAGGGTCACGTAACAAATTACATCTTTTTCATTTGAATGCAGATTTTGTAAGATTTTGGACTGATTTTCAAAGACAGACTGCCTGTTCTGGTAGTTTAGGGACAAAACCAATAAACAGAATACTCCTTTGGGGGAATATTCTCAAGTATGCTCTCAGTAAAGCTCTACAAGGCTTTTATGAAATACTCAATCCTGTCATTCACAGCACACCAGTGCCAAAGAATTCCATGGGTCCATGATTCGGTCCCAATCAGGCCAGGTTAGGGCAAGGAGATTAGACGATGAAGTTACTGAACTGAGAAAAAGCTCAATTTTATAATTCAAAATACATTTTTGATACCCATGCCAAACGATCATGTCTGTACAAAGTATTGTATAGTTTGTGACAGGTTGGAAGAGCTCAATGTATGGCACAAGGCTGAACAAATACACTAGCCTACCAGGTGCACTTTGGTGCAGTGGGGCAATAAATTGTAACGCAAAAGGAAAGTCTGAAGCACTTCCGGTCTTGGATTGCTTGTATTTATTGTTCAAACAACATATTGTATCTTTTGAATGGAAGAAATGTCCTGACCATACAGCACGAAACAGTAATGTGAAACTCATTCATGCATCATATCAAACTATTCCTCAGTGTGGTCGCATGAAAAGATACATACTGGTGTAGTGGAGTAGCACAGCAGAGCATGAAAGTTTACACCGATGGTGTTGTTCTGACCCTATTTCGGACATTATTAATAACATTTAAGTATTGCATTTACTGATCTGTTGTTGATCAATTGACAACTTTGTAAAGTAATCAGAGTCAGAGACTTAAGGCGATACAAAAATAATTTTAATTGATTTGAAGTCAACGATAACACAAACCTTTTTTTCCCATTTATCATTGGTGGTTGTGCAGAGCCATATTTTGTCAAATAACCATATTTTCTATTTTCAAATTAGGACATTATCGAGCTGATGTGCAGTTCATACATTGGCATTTACACAAACTGGAGGCTTTTTCCCAAGAAGAATGTGCAGCTTTAACATCAGGGAGGATAAAGAAAATCCTCCACAACTATCACAGAAGACTCTAAGCTGTCATAGAAGTTAACGGGTAAATGGAGGCTTTTGAGAACCGGGGGTGGAAACTTGCAGTGAATAGTTTCTGTTAGGAACCCCATTTCTATTTTCCCACAAGCTCTGACAATGAGAGAAAAAAGTGTGCGTTATCATTCACAATCTCAGAAATCGTGTGGACATGTGTGTGTGTGTGCGTGTATGGGTGTGGTTGTGCGGACGTCCATGTGTATGTGTGCATCCATGTGTGTGCGTGTGTGTGTGTACCTGTGCTCCCTGAACAAAGAGGTATCTTGCCGACAGCTGCAGCAGAGCAGAGCTGAACTGCTGTGGGCTTTCTCTGAGCCGGATCTCCATCACGGCGTCGTCCACTTCATCCCCACCGGCTCTGCCTCCTCTGCCCGAGTGCACTTCACACACCAGCGGCCAGAGCAGCAGCAGCGGGCAAGAAACTGCACAACACAACATCAAACACATATGTAGTCCATAAAAGGATATATTATTAACATTTGGCTACATTGCGGTTGAAAAATCTACAGGGGAAATAAGCAAATGGATACTCAAGATTTGCTCCAACTCGCTTTGGCTCCTCTGACTTGGATTGAAAAGTCAACTACTCTACACAGTAACCTTTTTTACAGTAAATTTTCACAATATTCAAATTTTCTGAGATGTTTTAATTGGGGTTTTTACAATCTATGAGTAAATGATGTCTTAATTTGCATGTAATGAGTCATATTCATAGTTTTCCTATCGTAAGTTGAATAATATTTAAGGCCCTTATTATGGATATTAAAATCTAAAAACATTTGAAATAGTAATATAAGTCATTTTTGGCCAAAACAGCAGGACAAATATAGCAGTATAGGATCCAAATTCAAGATCACAAGTTTGGACATGAGCTTAATTCATCCTCCCGGAGGGGACAGTCCATGTTGATGAACAGACAAGACACACGAGACAAAAACATGAATACAACTCGATCAAAAACCAAACTGTCATTTCCACCACTGCGATTATCAAGAGCATAATTACCGGCTAAGAGGATGTGAGAAGAGAACGTGTTGAGTGTGACCAAAGCTGCCGGCAGAGCGGTGCCACTGTGGCCATCGGGGAAACCCACAAACGCTGCCCCCCACTGGATGGAGGGGAATGTGGGCAGGTGGCCGGTGGCATGGAAGAACTGAGTGGCAGAAAGAGCCCATAGCACCACGGGGGTCCAGGGCACATTGAACCCACCTGCAGCTAGACAAAAGGAAATCAATATGTAATTTAAGGTTTCCACCATGTACGGGTGTAACTGATTACAAGCTAAGTGAGATATATAAGGATATGTACATTTATGTTATCCATTCAGTCCAGACATGATATTGGGCAGTACATAAAGCATTGATTTAATTTGAGGATTGGGATGAGATTTGAGTTTTGGTGCATAATATATATTGAGAACATGTGCAAACAGTCCATCCCAGACTTTGGCCTTTTTAAATGTATCTATTGAGACTGGCTTTTAACGCTCAGTAATGCAGTGGCACTTTATTTAGAACAACTATTTTATTGATTCTTGGATTGTATTGTGGTTTATGCAGTGATTTTAGTGGAAAAGCACTTTAGACACTGCTGTTGTAAAGAGCTTTGTGAATACAGGTGGATTGACTGATTGACAGGGAATGAGGTGTGAGGAGGGGCAGCATCTTTCTGTCATTCCACTGATGTCTGGACCACACAAATTCATGACAAAAAAAAAAATTATGAATGCATAAATCAAATAAAACAATGTGACTGTCTCTAACAAAAAGGAAGTTTGTATACTATACAGAGGCCCTTTTCATCATATAGTGAAGGGTCAGACTCGTCTTATGTAACAAAAAAAATAAAATAAAAAATCTAATAACAAAGTATAAGCTACTTATGAATAATTGGCATCCATTCAACTCAACATCAAAAGAGCTGTTGCGTAGTCACGCTGTTCCTAACTCTGCCACACTGGCCGGTGCCGCCCAGTGTGTGGCCGAGGACGCACAAGCACACAAGCTGTCGACAGGCGATGGTAAATTATAGTGTAATAAATGGATGATAAATGCACCAATAATGTTTCTAAATCTTTATTTCTTACTGAATTCTATCAAGTAGTTTATAAACATTAAATATAAAAGCCCTTTGTATCTAGATAGATAACACATCATGTTGTGTCATTGTAGGAGCAAGCTTGGGAAGACACCCTTTGTTTATTTATCATCCATCTTCTCCTAATGCAACTTTGAATACAAATTCATATTCACTGATCAGTGGATTTAAATTAAAATCTCTTTGAAGCTGCTCTGTGTAATTGATCAATACTGGCAGCTTTTCTTCAGTGAATATTCAATTTTCCAAGAGGCGTTTGTATTAATGCCAGCGAGCGTTATGCAAGACAGCGAATAAACAAAGTGGAGGGGATTTGTATTTTAATTTGAAAAATGACAACTTAAAAAACAAATTAACTTGAATAAGCTTTTAAAGACACTCCTTCAAGTGCAGCACAACTAAAAAAAATACACAACTAATTCAATATAAGAATGGAACACAATAATCACAAGGGAAATACATTATTACATTACCACTCTGAGGGATTAAGCATATTATGAGTATGTTCATATCTAATTTTACTACAAGAAAGATTCTGCCCTCCACAATCATTCTAAACTATTGCTCTTTGGAGCGTTGTTCTGTCACATAAACACAACCTATTCTGTGATTTTAACTTGTTGTCAAAATATCTTTTGCTGTTGCTGTCCCTAAACTGTGGAATAGTTTACTTCTCTGTACATTCAAGCGCCTCCTTCATTGAAGGTTTTTTTTAAGTCTAAAGACACTTGTGTGCCTTTACTTTTAACCCCACTGAATTTTACAGTTATACATTTCACATGTATTTGTGTGTATTTAATGCTGGTTTCTTTTCTTTGTTTTCTTTTGTACATGTGAAGCAACTGGGGTTGTTGTAAATGTGCTATACAAATAAATCTGACATTTACATGACAAGTGACTGTACCTAGATGGCCGTTTTGTAACTGAGTGTAAATTTAGAAATCTATTATCATTTAAAAACAAGTACATTTATACATGTATCAAATCTCACATTGGCTCACACTAATCAATGGATCAAGAGAATCGCTATATTAAACCGCTTATCTAATTAATCGTTGGTTCAACCCGAGTCTCACCTGCTTGCGTCCTGCTCAGGTTACAGGCAGAGGCGTGGATGTGCAGCAGCGCTCCGGCCTCCACCAGCAGCAGCAGGAAGGCCAACGACATGCCCTCCGGATGCAGCAGCAGCAGCACCAGCCCCAGCATCCCACAGAGCAGCAGCAGAGGCGCAGAGTAGACCGTCCCCAGCCCGTACGCCTCCACCGCGGGCCTGCTGTCCTCGCCTCCCTCCCCGCTCGTCTCCCCGTCATCCAGGGACTGCCGCATCTGCTGGTAAATCTGCGGGATCAGGTGATGCAGTTCGGCTTGGGGGCTTATCCCGATGCTTGCCCTGTAGCGGGGAGGAAGCCTTGGCGCCGGTCTGTTTTGCGTGGCTGTTTTGGACTTGATAAACACCGTGAGGGGGTCAAGCCAGATAAGCAACAAGCCCGCGGTTAGAAAACAATACGCAGCCCGGGGTAAGGCAAGCTGCGCCAGGCCGATTAGCTCAGAGAGGTTCTTGAAACTGTCCTCCGGAGTCCCGCTGACAGCCCAGTGCAAGCCTAAACTTACAGAAGACAAGGGTAGAATCCAGTTTGCTGTAAACACAGTTATACTGGAAGCGTTTAGGTTGCCGTAGTTTCGCATCCAGCTCCTTATCAAATATGTATAAACGGCGAGCGCGGACACAGACAAGGCGTAATGGAGGTTTTTGAGCTTGTCGTCTTGCATTCGCGACAACGGGGACAGGAATTGGGAAGGTTGGCAAGTGCCTTGTTCCTCTCTGCAGCCGTGGAAGAAGAGCGAGAAAAACAGGCTCCCGATGACAAGCGATAAGCAGAGCATAAACGTACCGGCTTCTCTTCGCACTACGAATGGGGATATGGCTGGGGAAGGCAGCAAGGCGGAAGGCTTTGGCTGGTCGTACATTTGGGGCAATAGAAAACCGTGCCAGTTTAGATGAACCGGGATGTATAGAGCGAGAGACAAGACCAAAAAGGTCACGACACGGCCCTCTGCAATCACGTAGCTGTCAGAGAGTAGGGAGGCACAGCGAAGAAACAGAATGAATACAGCTGGGGAGAGGAGACAAGAAAAAGAAAGCCAGCTCGCAGAATTTTTCACTCTAGTTTTGGTAACCGTTCTTAATCGATAAGCTTTCCAGACAAACAAAAGTTCGGAGCCAACAGCGGCGCTAGCAACGCACCACGAAACTTCCACGTAGCCCCAATTTAGCAGCTGAACAATAGCAACGCAGACCCCTGTAAGCATCGCTACGACACATGGAGATCTGATTGCATTGTCTTCTCTTATGAAAGTTAGCGACAGTTCAGAGAGGAAGAAACACGCAACACAAGCCAGGGCTAAGATGAACAAGCCGGCGGCCATTTTGAGAGGGTTGAACTTGGCCCACGTGGCGCGGCAGGTGTCCCGGACGGAGGTGAGGTAGGCTTGTAGAGCAGCAGTGATATGTGGAGAGGAGAGCAGGCCCTTTTGTTGAGCCGAGACGTATTCTGAGGACAGGCGGGAGAACTGAGACTGCAGCAGGGACAAGGTCTCGGGGGCAATGTCTTTGGCCATGCTGGAGTAGGTCTCCAGAAAACGGTTCACCTACAAAACAAACATAGTATTGGAGGCGATGGTATTTCTATGCTACTTAAAGCTGCACTAACTGACTTTGGGATTTTGAAGCAGCAGACCCGCTGGCCTCTCTCTTTCTGCTCCCCTCCCCGCACCCACGAAGCTATCGCCCCCCACACACACACAGTGTTGGGACGGAGCTAGCGTCTCCCAATATGGATAATACATGGACATGGAATTGCACGTGGATGGCGTGACCATAAAACGATAGAACCGGGAAGCGCGGAGGAACGAGACTTTCTTTTGGATGGCTGTCTTGCTGTGTAAGCAGTAACCGGTGATGAAGAGACGAAGCTTCAGGTTAGCTCCTCGTCTTGTTGTGCTAACTCAGCCGTCTATGCTAACGGACCTGTGGATTTCTCACGAAAGTGGGGGCCAGTGGTCCGCGGTGATTGGTCACAATCTGCGACCCGAAACACATTCTCTTCCTTGTTTCATCAAAACTCGATCTAAAATATAATGTCACGCCAGCACAAATCTGCGCTACTTTTTCGTCAAAAGGACGTATATCCCAATGCCCTACACGGACATGGATAGCATTTTCGTAATGAATACAAAAATAAAGTCAGTTAGTGCAGCTTTAAAGCTGGGAATATGTCCAAACACAAAAATGGAACTGTGTAATAAAACCCTTCTTACTGGTGCCTCGCTCTCAAAACAGTTTGGTTTCTTTCACTAGTTTTGTAAGTATTTATGGCCCTTGTCACATCTTTGGATCAGCATTTTCAGACATAAAAGTAAAAAAGAGAGGACCAGAAGAAATCAGTTCTCAACCCAAAGTATAAAATAGTGACAGGGGGATTCTGTTTTCTAAGAAGATGAAGACAGCGTGTCAAGGTCTGATTTTCTCACAACATTTTACTTTCACCGGATTCTTTCTGCTGGTAGAAATAACAATATAACAGTAATAGTATGAAAAAGAAATTGTTACACCAGGTTTGATTCATTATGTTGATAGAAAACAATTACAGGGCCGACTTTTACAGGGATTAATAACAGGATGCAAATATATTCATAGTGGTCTGAGATAAAAGTGAATTAATATCTCTCAAAATTCTGCAAACCGTATTTCCCGTCACTTTATTCAGGATAAGAATAGGAATCTAACTATGTGTAGCTAACCCTATAAGTTCTGTACATAGTTAGAGATATATTTACTTTTCTTATATTGTACACTCGTTTCCTGTGTGCTGTGGTGCTGAAGGACAATACCTGTTTTGCGTTGATCCACAGTGCCTCCTGCTGGCTGAGAGCACCCACTGCACTCTGTCCATGTGGAGGAAACAGAGGCAGCAGCACTTGTCCCACGCTGCTGAAGGGAATGGGGATTCCCAGGAGCAGAGCGAGCGTGGGAACCAGGTCTGTCTGAGGCACCACTTCAGGCTCCAGCTGAGACAGAAGGAAAGCATCAGTATTCTGTTGGCCATTTAGAGCTCAAAGAAACACTTCTGTCAGCTCTAGAGAAGGCAAATCTCCAAAAAGAGCAGAACATAGGCCGATGTTTTGAAATTATGCAGGATTTCAATGTCAAATATGCAGTTTATAATCAAAAATATGATTGGAAACAAAAAGTTTACCTAATATTCAAACCATAATGAAAATCCATTAAACTAGTTCCTTGTTCTCAAAACATTTGGGCTATCATTAGTTTAGACTTCTTTAGAAATCGTTTTTTTTAGACAGAAAAGTGAAAAAGTTTACAAAAGTTACGAAAATGAAGATGAAGCATGTTGTGGTCTGATTTGTTCATGAAATTTGACTTTTACGGGACTCTTTCTTTTGGGACAAACAAACAAACAAACTAAATTGTTTATGAAAAAAAGTTAGGTATCCAAGCTTTAACTTGTTGACTGCCATTGACGCATTTGTCTGAGACTGGAGATTTCTGTCAAACTTCCCTCTATTCGACCTGGGATTACAGGAGAACAAAACTAGCTATAAACAAACTTATTTTACTGATGAAAGTAAACAGTCCAGATTTTCTGAATCTAGTTTCATATTTCACATAGTCAGAGCACACAATATTCTGTGGGTCTTGAAAATCAGTGAAATCCTCAAAAACGGCAGGCAGTCAATGAGTTAATTGGAAGCATGAAGTGATATTTTTTTTTTTTTACACCAACAATACTTTGCACAATTAGGCCCTTCGTCATATGCTGTATGGGTTCAGAAATGAGATTACCTGGGCTTGAGGTTGTTGGAACACGGCCGAGGGACTGTAGATGAAAATGGCCGCGTCCGTCTCCTTTTGGCTCTCCCCTCCGTGATCTCCAGTGTCCGTCATCCCGTGGTCACCCATCACCACCAGCAGCGTGTCATTCTGGAGACGTCGCATCACAGACCTGAAAAACACATGTAGACAATCAGCCAAATGGACTAGGTCTGCTGTACCTATTTACACATAAATTACTATTAGCCCTTTCAATGTCAACGTAGGAGAATTGCTACATGAACTGTTGAATCCAGGACACCTTCTATAGACCCCATACTGCTCACAACCAGTATACAGAATGAGCTACGCCCTTGCATCTGGGAGGTTGATACTTTGATTAGCCATGGCTATTTATCAGTTCAGTTCGCTAGCTCTGTAGTCAGTGCACTAATGCATCAGTTAATCACTGTCCATTTGACTGATATGCCACAAAATAAACATAATTAGGTAAAAGGGAGACGTCTAGATCATGGGTGTCAGAATGATTTCTGAAAGGAACACCAATTTCCTCAAGTCTTCAGGTTAAGACTGAACACACTTGAAAGGAATGGATGAAGTCTGGTGTGCTTCTTCTTGATAGTAAGTAAAAGCTGCAACCAAACCCACAGGGATTTTTATTTTTTTTTGGTTGTTCTTTACCGATGCAGGGGGTTTAAGGACAGTGATCAACCAAAGTCTTTGTTATTACTGGATTTCCTGTGTTCATGCTGTTAGTTTCAGATTACAAACAAAAGTCCTCAAAGACAACTGTTGTAGTTTTTTTACGGGCTGTACAAAAACAAATTTCATTTAATTACATTTAACTGAACAGCCCAAACCTCAGTGGCCGGACATCCACGAAAAACTAATGTGTTTAATTTTCTTTTGTCAAAGTAGGCTGTACAACAGCACAGCAAAACGTGGCGTGTTTACTTCTAGCAAACAGCACGTGCAGTAGAGCGTGGAGCAACAGAGGCTGATAATCCATCTATACAGCGACCTGGCTTCCAACAAATGTTTTCAAACATTTTCCTTACATATATTTGTTTTATTTATTTCTGTTATTGATTATAGTGGTCCTGTATCTCTTTTTTCCTACTCAATTTATGCAGACATTAAAATAATTATTAACCATTATGAATTATTATTTATTATAATTATATAATACTATCCATCCATGGAAATATATATATATACAGTGCCTTGCGAAAGTATTCGGCCCCCTTGAACCTTTCAACATTTCGCCACATTTCAGGCTTCAAACAAAGATATAAAAAAATAAAAAAAATGTCATGAATCAACAACAAGTGGGACACAATTGTGAAGTGGAACGAAATGTATTGGATAATTTTAACTTTTTTAACAAATAAAAAACTGAAAAGTGGGGCGTGCAATAATATTGGGCCCCTTTACTTTCAGTGCAGCAAACTCACTCCAGAAGTTCAGTGAGGATCTTTGAATGATCCAATGTTGTCCTAAATGACTGATGATGATAAATAGAATGCACCTGTGTGTAATCAAGTCTCCGTATAAATGCACCTGCTCTTTGATAGTCTCAGGGTTCTGTTTAAAGCGCAGAGAGAACCATGAAGACAAAGGAACACACCAGGCAAGTCCGAGATACTGTTGTGGAGAAGTTTAAAGCCGGATTTGGATACAAAAAGATTTCCCAAGCTTTAAACATCTCAAGGAGCACTGTGCAAGCAATTACATTGAAATGGAAGGAGTATCAGACCACTGCAAATCTACCAAGACCCGGCCGTCCCTCCAAACTTTAATCTCAAACAAGGAGAAGACTGATCAGAGATACAGCCAAGAGGCCCATGATCACTCTGGATGAACTGTAGATAACTACAGCTGAGGTGGGAGAGTCTGTCCATAGGACAACAATCAGTCGTGCACTGCACAAATCTGGCCTTTATGGAAGAGTGGCAAGAAGAAAGCCATTTCTCAAAGATATCCATAAAAAGTCTTGTTTAAAGTTTGCCACAAGCCACCTGGGAGACATACCAAACATGTGGAAGAAGGTGCTCTGGTCAGATGAAACCAAAATCGAACTTTTTGGCCACAATGCAAAACGATATGTTTGGCGTAAAAGCAACACAGCTCATCACCCTGAACACACCATCCCCACTGTCAAACATGGTGGTGGCAGCATCATGCTTTGGGCCTGCTTTTCTTCACCAGGGACAGGGAAGATGGCTAAAATTGATGGGAAGATGGATGGAGCCAAATACAGGACCATTCTGGAAGAAAACCTGTTGGAGTCTGCAAAAGACCTGAGACTGGGACGGAGATTTATCTTCCAACAGGACAATGATCCAAAACATAAAGCCAAATCTACAATGGAATGGTTCACAAATAGACGTATCCAGGTGTTAGAATGGCCAAGTCAAAGTCCAGACCTGAATCCAATCGAGAATCTGTGGAAAGAGCTGAAGACTGCTGTTCACAAACGCTCTCCATCCAACCTCACTGAGCTCGAGCTGTTTTGCAAGGAAGAATGGGCAAGAATCCCAGTCTCTCGATGTGCAAAACTGATAGAGACATACCCCAAGCGACTTGCAGCTGTAATTGCAGCAAAAGGTGGCGCTACAAAGTATTAGCGCAAGGGGGCAGAATAATATTGCACGCCCCACATTTCAGTTTTTTATTTGTTAAAAAAGTTTAAATTATCCAATACATTTCGTTCCACTTCACGATTGTGTCCCACTTGTTGTTGATTCTTCACAAAAAAATAAATTTTTATATCTTTATGTTTGAAGCCTGAAATGTGGCGAAATGTTGAAAGGTTCAAGGGGGCCGAATACTTTCGCAAGGCACTGTATATATTTTTCTATGGATGGATGGTATAGAACTAGATGGACACACAGTGTTTTCATAGTATCATGTTTGCAATTTGTTATATTTATAAAGCTGAGGCGCCGATGCCGATTGTACAGAATATCCTGACCTGATGACCCCGTCCATCTGGGTGAGTTTGTCGGCCATGGCCGGGTGGTCCGGGCCAAACCGGTGCCCGCAGTGATCCACTCCCAGGAAATGAGCGACAAGAACGTCCCAGTCATCACCTTCCACTGGAAAGAGCAACGCTGGGTTATAAGTGAACATTTTACAGTCATAATACAGGTCTGGAGTGAAAAAGTAATGTTACATAACAATACTTCTTTACTTTTTTAACAATAAAAAAGTTTAATAAAGACAAAAGACATTTTGAGTAATTATGTGTATTAACAGGTTTCCAAATAGACTATCAGGAGAGAGAAATCATTGTGGCCAAGAATGTTAAGATTAGTGATATTTACAGAACATTTTGAGAAGAAAAAAAAGAACATAGGAAATTGTTCAGCCTGATTCATTTTATCGAGATGTTTTTTGTAATAATGCAATAAGTAACAAAAACCTCCAGAAGTCGAATAATTTTTTTCTTGTCCAATTTCTGGATTCCTGAAATACTGTATTGTATATTGCGTTAGACCAACTGACAGTGAGACAAACAAACCCTGCCGATTACCATGCCAGGGTATAAAAACCATCAAAAGTATATAGAATTTTTAATAAACAAAAAGCTCTATCCATTTTGTACATACATGTGGAGTAGATGTTCTGTAGAATCCCGTCGTCCACAGTGTGTAGATCCTTTACGTTGAAGGACGGAAAAGGCAACGAGCGGTGGAAGCGTTTGGGATAGAGATTCTCCCATGTATCGTCCCCCATGAACACCACTCGTTTACCTGAAAAAATTAATGATTAATGGACCATTGTTTTCATGGACGGAGTGTAAATCCACTAAGAAAACAATTCACATATGGCCACTTAAAGCTTTCAAAACAATAAATAATATTATAAAACCAATCTAAGCTCATTCTATCACTAGTTTTCACATGCATATTTTTTGGCCCACATTGTTCAATTAGTGCTTTCAGACGAAAAAAGCCTAGATTTAAAATGAGAATGAAGTTTAAAGATATGAATATTTAAAACACTCTGAGCTTAAAAGTTTTCTTACCAACTTGAGCCAGCTGCTGAATAAGATTTAAGAATAGAAAGTTGACACTGCAGAAATAAATATGTGGGCCACTGTTCTAGTCTATATAAAGAAAAATAGGCTGTAAAACAACACTCACCAACTTGACCCAGCTGCTGAATGAGATTGTCTTCTAGAATGGCACTTGAAGCAAAGTTGTTTCCTACATCTATAAACGTGGGGAGCGAGCCTGTGGTGAAGCCCTTTATCCTCTGCATGGTGGTGGTCGGCGGATCAGCTCTGAATGGATACAAGCGGCTGTGTGACGGCTTGGCGGACACCGTCTCCTCCAACACGGGCAGCTTGTTCTCGTAAGGCCTCGGCGACGTCTTGTTGGCGTCATAACGCGCAAAATCGATCTTCAAGGCATCGATTATGAGGAGGACGGCTTTGTGGAAACGTGGCTGTCCCTTGCAGAAGTCCCTTTCTGGCTCCTGTCCGGGATAGAGGGCATCCAGGCAGCTGCTGGTCCGGTTCACCTCCAGTCGGACCAGCAGGAAGCCCCCCACAAACAGGTAGATTCCAGTGATGTACACGGCACACGACCAAGAGAGGAGGGACAGCACGGGGAACCACTTCATCCTGATTACAAACAAGCAACACAAAGAGATACCTATGAGAGCTGTGTTGCATCAATTTCAACTCTTATATCTTATAACACGCAATCTGACATGCAATCTTATATTGCATGTCAGACTAAGGGGAATCCAAACTTTTTAGTAGGAGGGAAACTTTAGTTCACCAGACTTGTCCAGGGCCCTACAACTCTAATTGTAAAAGGTTTTGATTGTATTCAGGCTTTACTGAGGTATGACATGTCCATATATACATTGGATTGACCTGAAGTGGATGATTGATACTTTTTCACCGGTTATCTCAAATACATTTTGCTTTAGGCAAATAAAGGCAATAACTGAATGAAAAAGAGGTTCTGAGCTTTAGAACAAGGCACAAAATGCCTATTGGCAGAGCCAAGTTTGCAGGATGACACTGAGATTCAGTTTTTCATCTCAAAGGATACTTTGGGTTAGCAAGGTAGAAGGCTACATTTGATATAGGGTTAGGGTGATTGAATTTGGACAAGTCTTCTGCATATGAACAGTGAGTAAAGTGGGCTAGCCCTTGTCGCTTCATATTTCCTTACCTAAATCAGAAAAGGATATGTAGGACGTTTAAGTTATGCTAATAAATCATATTGTTATTACAGTTTTGTAAATGAGAAAAAAATCTCACATGAAAACTTTTAAAATAGAATAGAAATGAAATAATCGTCCCTGTATTCATTAGTCAGTCACAACATACATGGTTGTGGAAACTACTCAAGATCAAGAGGAAGATTGTTTATTTTGTCTCCCCTAGAAGACATTTGGTTTGGGCGGATGGGTCTGCGACATTTCAGAACAGAATACATACACACAAAGACACCAACACACGTTCTGTACAGTTCACACCCAAAGACACATCTCCTCCTCATGTCCATATTTAACATTCACTGAAACGGGGTATGAATGAGTTCTTAAAACGATTGACTCGGCACCGTGGCACTCTGTTCCTGAATTAATGACTAATAAGCATTTGACAAACAATTCAGCTTTTGTGGCTGTAGACATCTCATTTCAACCAATAACCTAGTGAGAATTTGCCACTTACCTCATGTACAATCCACAGAGCTGTCTGAAGGCACCTGCTGCAGTCTCCCAATAAGAACACAGTTGCTAAAATATTCTTTTAAATGTTAGTTACTTTAAACCGTAATTGCTTGGCTACCTGTGTTCATTGCAGGCAAAACTCTTCAGTATTATTGGAAATGAAGGGACTAAACTAAAAGCTGTACAGTCTATGGTAGCAACACTTAGCAGCAGCACTATTCATTCCTTCCTGACTGAATGTCTGACCTTGTAGCCGGGGAAAGTGTGTCCTCTCCGGGGTGAGGGAGGGGGGTGTGTGGGTTAACAACACAGGGGCGTCCAGGCGGAGCAGGTAAGCATGGGGCGGTTCACCTTCATTTGGAGAGCCGCGGTACAATCAGATAAAACTGACCAGTGACAGGTAGGAACGGAACTCACGCATGTTTCAACGGAAACACACGGGGGAGTGCGTTTTGTGTGACACGCTAGAAGTATTTTGCCCTGAGTTTGTTCTGTCAGGCTTATCGTCAAGTGGTTTATATTTACAGTTTATGTTTATGATCTTATGATAAATTATCTCACTCAGTAGAAAATTGGAATGTGCTATTTCCTTACTGTTTACAGCCTATGGTTATCATTGTAAAAACAATGAGATGCACATATTAGTTTTATCTGACATATTGAGCTCAATATAGCCTATATTATCTTTCTTTAGAATTAGATTATCAGTTTTTTTAAATTTTTATTATTATACTTTAAACATTTTGATCATGGTGTCCTCAAGGAAAAATATGAAACATACTTTAAATAAATAGAAAAAAAGCATCATTCAATGTGTTAAATATATATACACAGGCTGTACAAACAATAGTTTTATTTAAATTCAAATAGGAACAAAAACATGGTCTATTTTTGGGCAAACACAATCAATCTCATTGACATAAGCGCTTCAAACGTCATAAAATAGGCCGAGGGGACAATAAGAGGAAAAAAGTATGTTTTGCTTTTGTGTAAAATGGGGAGCTGCAACAGGTTAAAGACAATATTTTGTAACTTGTAAAATGCTCCGTGTTTAATAATAATAAATATTTAAGTTTCACAATCTTCTAACTTTTGTAAACACAATAACCTTTAACTTAAGACCTTAACCTCAGAACATCTTAGAATTTACCTGAACTTGCTACAATGTGATTTTAGCAGGTTCATAAGGCTGGCAACTGAACTTAATGTTAAATCAAGTAGCTCTCTTCATACATGTTATAAAGAAACTTGAAGGTACATTTTTACTATGCCCTAGAGCAGCATTTATTTATTCAATGAATATAGGTACGTGGTGAGCATAACAGACATGGAAATTCCCTTGTGTTAGTGAAGAGTTTTTGTCCCGTTTTGACTGGTCTCTCAAGTTTCACCTCCAAGGCCCAAAACCCAGGGATGTAAAATTTCCAATAAAGTCAAATATAATAATAGAAAATCATGCAGACGGGTTCCCATTTTCTGCATCAGTGCTCTTCTCACTGTCTGGTTTGGCTGCTGACGTTGGAATCGTTGTATTTGTCTTTGCCAATGTACTATAGATGGTCATTGCCTAAAACAAAAAAAAAGTTATTAAGAAAAGACACATCAATACTGACTTGAAATGAGTATACAGTACATATGGCATAAAAAACATGATATACCTGTGTAACCATTCCACTAATGTCCCCGGTGTTTGTAGGTAGAAGGATGGTGTTGCTCTGTTTGGCCAGATTTGAAAAAGCAGACACATACTGCTCAGCCACACTGAGAGACGCAGCAGCATTTCCATTCTGTAAAAAACACAGTATCAATCACACAGCTTTAACTTTCAGAATTCACAGTGATAGAACTTCCTTTGAAATGTTTGGTTATCTTGTTAACTTACAAACAAATGGACAGGCAAACAAACGTATTACTCTAGCGGAGGAAATCATAAACCAAATGCTTTAAAATACTTTACAAAAAAAGTTCCTTACCTGTTCAGTCAAAGCGTCTGAAAGTAAACGAATGGCCTTAGCTTTTGCCTCAGCTTTGGCCAGCACTGCCTGAGCCTCACCTGTACAGAATTAAAACTGTCATGCACAATACTTACATTAAAACACTGGGGAGACTTCATTATATTTACCAGCAGCTTGATTGATCTGCTCAGCCTTTTCTCCCTCTGAAGCAAGGATCTGAGATTGTTTCCGGCCCTCAGCCACGTTAATGGCGGCTTCCCTGCTTCCTTCAGACTCCAGCACTGTGGCTCTTTTTTTACGCTCTGCTTCTACCTGTAAACAATGACAATATTAGCATAGAGAAAATAAATAGCAATATGTAGGGATGTGGTGGGAAACGGAGCTTTACGAAATATCTCAAAACGATTATGGTCACATATCCGAGTGCTTTACTAGCTTTCAACCAACAATACAATGACTAATATAATATAAATGTGAATTCAAGACTTTTTGCCCCTCAAAGCCAAAATAATTCCAAATAGTAATAATAACAGTAGTGAGGGTTTTCAGCTTATATTTTGCTACGCTATTGTTGAATGTCAGGCGGTTTTCAGAATCAATATCAAAATCTCATCTTGTATCGATCTCGTGGCGACATTACGTGCCTGCATCTGCATGGACTCTTTGACACGGGGTGGAACATGGATGTCTTTAATTTCGTAACGAAGACAGCGGATTCCCCACTCGTCTGATGCTTGGTTGATGGAGTGGACGATGTTTGAATTGAGTGATTCCCTTTCCTGGAGCAAAAATATATAAATTATTTTGTTTATTTAATCTTGATGCAATTAAAGCAATCAAATACCCTGAAAACTTTATCCAAGGTAAGTTTTCCCAGCTCTGAACGCATGGTGGTTTGTGCCAGCTGAGTGACGGCATACTCTGGGTCTTCAACTCCATAACTGGCCTAAAAATGAGCACAGAAGAAAAGGGGACAATTAAAATTTTTGTTCAGTCATTCATGGATGTTATGGATTTACAACATACCTTAAATGGGTCCAGGATCCTTAAATAAAGCACTCCATCAATTTGTAATGTTACATTATCTTTGAAGAAAAAAGATCATAGCACATATAAGCTATAGAATTTGCGGGGGAAAAAACATTGCCCATAAACAAACGTTAAGATGTTTCTTAATAAAAGAACAACTTACCTAAAGATACTGCAGATTGTTCAGGGACATCAATTACAATTTCTTTTAGACTTTGTACATAGCGAACCCGATCAAGGACAGGTATGAGAAAGTTCAAACCCTGCAGTAAAAACAATTTAAGCGTTTGTGTCATCAATGTTGCATATAAATAGATAAGTGTATGTATAGCAGTACCGGCTCCAAGATGCGATGGAAACGTCCCATCCTCTCCACGACCCAGGCCTCTTGTTGAGGCACAAACAGAACCACAGTGTTCATGGGTAAACTGGACGCCCATCTCTGCTGTGCTGGAGTCACCCACAGCCTGGGGGCCGTCTGCTGGCTTTGCTGAGGAGAAGACATGCAGCCAGATTCATTGCAGTACAAAATGAAAAGATTCCGATCCCGACTCTGTACAATCTCAAATGTGGAAGTGAGATTGAGGGACAACAATGAATGTGGCAGTAGCGACGTGAAAGCTACCAAGTCAGGGACAGATAGAATTGTGTCCTTTAAGAATGTTTGGCTTTAATTGATATGTACAATTTAAATCACACACTAAATGTCTGTTCTGCCCGCGCCCCCCTCCCCAGGTTACATAATGACAATATAATAATAAATAAAATAAATTAGAAGATCAGCCAGACTTAAAGGCATATGCATTTTAGAGAGTGCTTTTGGAAAACTATTAGTGGCATCTGGACGACCTGTTTCAAGTTACTATGTCATGCTAATTCTGTCAAACAAGCAAGAATAAATTGTGATGCTCTAAAAAGGAAACAGATAATAAGAAGTTCCAGTGCATTTTGTAACATAGAATATAATCCGTACACTATGATTTCTCTACCAATAAAAACAGACCATGCTTATAAAATTGCCAGCCCTTGTCTATTTTCTCATGTGTAATTCAAACTAAAGAAACCAAGTTAAATAAATGTTTTTAACTTATTATATCCATGAAGGAAGCCTTGTTCATACAAAATATTAGATTGTTCAGAGTTGATGTAACAATTACATAGTGGGTGACAATTCTAGTTAATTAGAAGTCAATATATTTCCCAAATGTAAAACGCTGAATGATGGAGGGTCACTGACAATATTAGACTGAAGCTAGAATGTTATACAAATCATTTAATCTTCTTATAGATAGTTTCGGAGGGTCTGATGTAAGCAATGACACATGGCCTCTTTTTACCTTCAGCAATAATCCACCGCTCCGACACAGCGCCCGCAGCATCCTCCAAACAGCAGCAGTCCGAAACTTTTGGTTTAAAACTTAAAAAACTAAGCACAGTAGCGAGGTTCTGAGGTAAATCTTCGACTAGTCGCTTACGAGCATGACCCTTCAGATCAGGAAATACGTTATGGGGGCTGTGCGCAACCACAAAAATGTCCGCCGACAATATTTCCGCCCGGCCTCACAAATTCTTTAAAATTTGTTTTTGTTGATAAAATATGGAACAAATTTAAATGCACGATTTAATAATTTCAATAGGGATAGAAACCGTTTTACGGAGTAGAAAATATTGGCATGTAAGTATTTATGTAATTACACTTGTGCCCCACTAGATGCCAGTATTGTGCTTTTCAAGACGAGAGATTAATAGATTCAGATTCAGATTATTTTATTCAGACATTCAAACATTCAACAGATGACAAACAGATGATAAATAAACATAAAGTCTGAAATGGAATAGGCAGAAGCTAAGGCTTATTGCGCCTATCCCAGAGTATTTACAAAACATAAACAGTAAAGCTGCCAATGTCTTATGCAAGTAGTTATACAGTTTTTGTTTTTAGATCGTCACAAAGAAGAAAGAAAAACAATCTATCATCTTAAGTTTGCATCCTTAGCATCCATTCTCAATGTATTTGTTTATAATTGATTTCTTCAAAAGAATTTTAAATTGAATTAAGGTTTTACAGTCTTTTAGCTCTTGGTCCAACTCACTCCACACATTAATCCCAACAAAAGAAAGACAATGCTGCTTTGCACTCATTCTCACATATGTTTTTTGAAACATTTCTTCCTTTCGGAAATTGTAAACGCAGTCTCGTTTTTGGAACAATCCCTGGATATGCACAGGTAACTTGTTATAGCTTATGTTATACATAAATTGTGCTGTTTTAAACTCAACCAAATCCTTCAATTTTAGTGCTTTTAGTTTGATGAAAAGCTCATTTGTATGTGCCCTGTAAGCCACTTTATTCACAATGCGGATCGCTCTTTTTTGGATGATACTTATTGGATTAAGATTGGTTTTGTAAGTGTTTCCCCAAACTTCTAGGCCATAGGTCATGTACGGGAGAACCAGGGAACAGTATAACATATATAAGTTGTTTTCATTTAAGAGTTCTTTAACTTTAGATATTATTGCAAGAGATTTACATAGCTTTGCCTTGATGTAGTTTATATGGGGCTTCCAGCTAAGCTTATTTTGTAAAAGTACTCCAAGAAATTTTATTTCATTCACTCGTTCTATCTCAGTATCATTTATTCTTAAATTTCTACACACATTAATGGCACGATTTCCAAAAACTATAAATTTGGTTTTATTTAAATTAAGGGTTAACTTATCAGAATCAAACCACTTCTTTAACAATAATAATTCTTTCTCTACTATATCTATCAATGCTTCTAAATTCTTACCACAACTAAGCATGTTGGTGTCGTCAGCGAATAAAATAAGGTTTAATGTTTTTGAAACTAAATGTCACGACAAACTATTATGTCACGACAATGCGTTTTATTTCAACTTTCGTTTCCAAAGATAAAAAAGCCAACATATTCTGCTTATTTGATTATTATTTTTGAGCTGAGAAGCAGAGAGGGATTACTCAGCCAGACACAGTTATGAGATACTATCATATTACATGTTGTTGGTCTCAGTGTATAGTATAAATTAGGTAAATATTTTTACACCGGGCATGTTCTGATAAGCAATCAATATTTAATCACTATACATTGTTAAAGATGTAAAACATAGAGATGATTATGCGTTTTGTGCAACTTAAGACAAATTGAACCTTTTTGAATCACGTTGATTATTAAAGCAATGAGCAAACAGACCCACCCTGAGTGCAAGTAACTTTTCACGAGGAAGTGCCATTAAGGAGCTGTCTGCACCAGGAGCAGAGAGACGCCTGCAGCCACAGGGGACGACATAGAACCCCCGATGTTAGGGGTCTATATATTTACAAAATAAATACGCATTTCATTTCTTAAAAATAATTGATAGATAATTACAACTAAAATTGGTATCATAATATGTGTTACTATTAAACGAACCAATGTGTAAAATTATTCAACGTAATTACCCACTTTGGTTGGTTAATAATGATTTTGATAGAAGACCATCATAGTTAAAGCTGGGATCTCTAACTTCTACACCACAAACAATGGTACAAAATGGCCTCTTTCACGTTGTCAGATCTACCTGTTAGGACAAAAAAAAAAAAACACAAAAGAGTCCGTCCACCTTCACTTGACCAATCAGCTCATTATCCAAAGCGTAAGATAGTTACTCACATACTTAAAAAAAAAAAAAAAAAGTTACTCACATACCTACGTATAAGCAAATATGAGAGGTTTTCTAAAATAAGATAAAAAATAAATATAGCTTGTTCTGTCTGAAATAAACTGAAATGAACAATATATGTGTGTATTTTTGTTATTACAGTTTATCTCCATATTATTATGGTAGAGCTGTCAGTGCCACCTGTTTGTTTCTCCTGAACGCTGTCCATTCGGATTGGTTTAAATCACCATAGCAACCCCGCCTCATCGATCGACAGTGCCTTGCGATTGGTTGTCCGGGACGCCAGTCACAGGTGCCGTGGTCCCGCCCACTCCTCTCCTCCTCAGGTTGATCCGTGTTCAGTCGAGTTCAGCGTCGATAATCCGAGATGAAACCTCTTCTGAACATGGCATGGCCGCGGAGAGGGGGGGCTACTACTCTCTGCTTTCATCCTGCAACATGCATGGACTTTTAACGAGCGATTGCGACGTTTTTAGTGTTTTAAGATAACTTTTTTGCTGTAGCGATGTTGTTGGACGTCCTGGAAAATCTCTGAGCGCCACAAAAACTACTTCAGGATAGAGCCGGGGACAGAAGTGCTTGGCCATGTCGCTGCTGTGTGTGAGAGGTCAGTGCTGGACTTATGGATCACCTCTAAAAACGCATATTTGTACTCTCTGTTTCGTCACTGCAAACGTAACATTGCAAAATATAATGGGAAATTGAAAAAAACTAAAAGAAGGGAGGAAAAAACTCAAAAATCGTAGCTTTAAAGGTGCACTATGCCACTTTTCTGATCTAGTCTGTCAAATACGTGTTGCCATGATTGAGATGGCATTACTTTGGTCTTGCTTTTTTGTTCTAAATTGAGGACTTCTTTGGATTCTGAATGTGTGAAATATTTGTAAAAGGTGTCTCTACAAGATATACTGCGTTTCAATAGAGAAGATCCCAGAAAAGGATTAGTATTTTTGTGTGTGTTCCTGGTCATTTAGAGATGTATTAGGGATGCATCAATACAACACTGGCATTGACAGCTGTTGTGGTATCGGTTCTGCCATATGTGTAAAGCTGATATACTGATTGTGTCTTTAATTTGTTTTCATTAAGCTGTTTATTAAATCAAACAGGATGTGAACAGTGAGCTACTGTTTGCTTTGTTGATCTTGTCAGACTATTAATATCGTACGTAGTAATTATCATTGGCAAAGTTTGAGGCTATATACAAAAATACTCATCATGAAATTGTATTATGAAATAAGACATTTTCTGAAATTCATCGCTACTAACATTTATTATTATTTATATTTCTTAAAGGCATTAAGATATATATTGGACATGAATATAGTTTGGGAATCGAACTTGCAACATTGAGCTGTGCAGTATGCTTGATATAAAAAATTCAGTAAATTCTATTAGACCATATCAAGATTGCACGAAATAATCGGGCTAGGACAATATATCATTAAACAAAATGTAATTATCTAATTATATCTATATGATCGACAGGTATCAATACGTTGAGTGACATAATCCACTTACATTTCTTACTAGAGCTGTGTTTTGATTTAATCTATTAGTCGTTTAGATCCTGAAAAGTCTGTGAAAATTGACCTTTTTTTCTACCATTTGATCAAGACAAAGCTTAAGTGATGCCCCTGGAGAACATCTTCATAGACATAACTCGTTTTACATTGGGTTGTTTGAGTACAATACATTTTAATTTCATTCTCAAGTCTTCTAAAGAATTATCTGATCATAAAAATCTTTTTTCATTAGAATCGATTACTGCATTAGTTTAAATAAGTCATTAGTTGTAATTAACCTGTGACAGCTCGCATTTAAACAATTCTTACAATATTGAATCAAGATCTAAGTATTATGATTGTTTTGAAGCATCAGATAGACCCTAACCCGGCCTGACTATTATACTTTTGTTGTGTTAAAAACTAAAACATCATATAACAGGCCACTGCAACGTATCATGGTAAGTTAGAAACACAGTCAAACATTTTATTATTATGAATTGGGCCTTCTCTTCTATGGTGTATTGAAACTGTAGGGCACAGAAATAGGCAGCAGAATATTATATCAGCTACAAATATCATTTTATCTGTTAAAAATCAAAAAATCAAAAATCTTTACAAGACCAGAGTAAAATTAAGCTGCACAACACAATATTCTGATTGCTGTTTATACTTTTTCTGTCTGATTTAAAAGAGCCCTTTTTTTCTAGCTCTACATCTCTCCATAAAGATGAATTCCCCAAAATAATGGCTCAAATGCCTCATAGTGGTTCTCAAAGTGGGGGCCACACGATGCAAGATGACACAAAAAGTGAAATGATGTCATGTAACTCGAACAAACACTACAATGGATTGAAAAAAAATGCATTAGAGGATGGATTAAATTAATAGTTTTTGTCTGTTTAGGGTAGAAAAGGCTTGTGTGTGAGAACTAAGGAGCATATCCTTACACACACACATGCACGCGCACACAGACACACACCCTGATATGTGTCATATAGAGCAGTGTGGGGAGCGAGTGTTGGTAGTGGGAGGGGCATGGGTCGTGATTCAGCTTCAGGGGCAGGTGTGATTTAAGTGAGAATTTATTCACATCTGTGTTCCGCATGTGCAAATGTTCTCTGAATACACTAAAAAATTTGCTTACATTGCATAAAAGCAAAGTAAAACTGCTATATTTTATTCCTGTTTTG